CGTCTGTGTATACTGTGCAGCTGCAATAAATCCTACAGGACAGTTCAACTAGTGGTTGTCTCTTCATTCATACGACAATCCCACACTTCAATGTGCCTTTCGACTATTTTCAGAATAACATTTGCGAATAGCTTGCCTATTGTAGACAAGAGGCTAATCGGGCGTAAATTTTGAAGAAATTTTGGGTCCTTGCCGGGTTTCGGTAACGATATAACCTTTGCTTTCTTCCAATGCTTTGGAAAATGGGAAGCCGAAGGAAGTGATTAAATAAACGTGTCAGATGTACCAGTGACCTTCATGGAAGTAGCCGAGTCGTTGCCTAGCAATAAACGTCTATCTTGGCTGAACAATTCCGGCTGTCAGGTGGCGTGGCACATTATTTTTATTTCTTATGGATCATGTTGAATAAAAGTAAACACATGTTATACTATATGCCAATGTTAGGTCCGTTGTTCAGCAAATGAAAACACGTGACGAATATTATTTATCAAACAATTTTCTCAGTCGCAAATTTTGCACTACTTTCGCTTGAATAACTTGGAGATATGAGGTTCTGTCACGCTAAGTGCACATTTCAAGCCGTTACCAACTTCCCGTCTATTCCTTGCATTTAGTTTCATGTTTTTCGCTGTTGGAAAGCCGGACTCACAGAGCACTGCTGCAGGGAATCGGGTACTCAAAACCAGATTTTCTCCAGGAAGCTGCCAGGCTAGAATTCTGAACAAATGGCTCCAATGTGTTACTTTATCGAGGACCAAAGTTCTGCTTTTGTCTTTACACCATTTTCTTCCACCGTAGATAGTCTTGTAGTTCTGTTTGGTTGACAGAAGCAAAGTGCTAATTATAACCATCCTGATATACCAACAACAGCTCCAAACATCAGTCCGACTCGAACTTACTCATGAAACTAGCAATACTGTCTTCAGCTCTGAGAATAATGTAGTTTGAGGAACCGTTGCTATGCAAAGACCGCTAGATGGACTGGTACACCAGGGCCGTTTATGGGCAACGGCTCGGTAAAAACGTTCCCGTTTCTAGCCAGCAGATTCTTAATAATGCAACAGTTGAACGTAACAATAGAAGAGCTGTGTTTTCTACGTGGTCAGTGCCGAGATGTTATAAGCAAGGAAAAGGTTAGGTCCAGTTCTGTACGGGAGTCTGTGAAGAGAGGACTTGGGCTGAAGGCAGAGGAATGGCATTTGTCGGGGCCATTACCAGAAAACTTCTAGTAACAAGACCGTAAAGTATGGAAATAACGGCAGTGTTACAGTTACTTGCAGTTACATCCTGTAAGTGGTCAATAAATCTATTCACCAATCCAAACACAGTCTATAATCACATATTCTGCGTGACAATATTCATCATATTTCCGTATTGGATTTATATTGCATCATAGTACAACAGCAGGAATCGATATAAATCGTTAATTAATTCACCGTAATGAAAATTAATTGTACATTTACAAATTACAACGTCTTGCTTTTATTTCCAGTTTTATGCTGAGAAATGTAATAATCTCATTAACATAGTCTCGGTGACTAAAAGTATTTTCTTTTATTTTACAATGTAAAAGAGAAAGGCCGTCGGTCACGGTAGCCGAGCGGTCTAAGGCATGCACTGTCTTCGCTCGCTTGGAAACCGGGATCGTGGGTTCAAATCCCACTCAGGGCATGGATGTTTAGTTTGTGTGTGTGCGTTTTTCTGTGTTTGTGTGCAGGTAGAGGCCTTGCGACGAGCTGATCACCCGCCCAAGGAGTCCTACCGAGTGTGTAAGATCTAGAAAAACCGAAGTGAACGGAGAAGTTCATGGAGGCAGGCCTAAACCCACTGGGGCTGTAGTGCCAAGGGAAAAAAAAAGGAGAAAAAGGCTAGAATGTTAATTTGTAATTAATTGTATATTAAATTAAATATAATTAAAATCGACTTTCCTCAAACTATAACTGTGTTTATATTAAATATTGATCGCAGTATGTCAGTCACTACCAAGACTGAATGGAAACTGATCTGTCATTGAATGTCCCAGCGGTTTTGAAGGAGAGTGGAGCATGTCTCCGCGTGTCGGGTCAAGTTGCACTGCAATGCGCACTGATCTTACTGCGTCGCCACGGAAGGAACAACAATAGAATATTGCCAAGCGAAGCAAACTGAATAATTTACTGATGTTACCCTTAGTTAGTTAGTTATTGGAGAGGGTGGGTTTCCCCATGCACTTATACCAGTATTGGTCCATTGTGCTTTCCTCTATGATATTCTACCAGTCTCTATACCCTACCGATATTGGTGCGTACCATCAGTCCCGCCGAGCAAGCGAGTTCGGCCACTTGCTTGGCGGTGTCTATAATGCTTCCCCCATCTATCAGAGGCCTTAGAGACTATTGTTGGGCGGGAAACGTCCTGGAATTTGGCTCAGTGATCTCCTTTGGAGATATGAGGTTCTTTTACGTGCCGTAAAGTTACGACACGGGACACACAGCTTAAAGTCCCTCCCGGAGGACTTGTTCCCTGAATTTTTCCGCCCTTAAAAATTCGACGACCTCCGCCGGGTATTTGAACCCGCGTACCACGAGTCATGAGGTGGGAACGTTACCTCTAGACTACGGAGGCCGCTTAAATGTTACCCTTACTTTTCTTTACTTCAATTTTGCAAGAGTAATTCAATTCACTTCGTTACTATTACATGCCGAGCCAGCAGCTACTGAGCACATCTGCGGACGTAACACATGCAGGGACTATTAATAAAATGCGGGCAGAACAAAAACGACAGTCACGAGACCAGTCTAGGGAATAACAGTGGAAAAATTATTGCTACTGCCTTACACAAGAAAGAAAAACATAGGACAACAATACCAGTAAGCAGTATTGTAGTTCTGAAGTAACAATAAAAGTGATTAATAGCACAGCCACTAATGGCTGTACAGCCCAGTTTTGGCTCTGGCCGCTTTCAAGGCATTTTTCAATTCCCTCCTGTCCGACGCCCTCCTTTTCTTTTTTTAGGTCACCGTCCAGTGAGTCGTCTGGCTATTGTCTTGTTTAGGAGGTTGTGAACCTCAAGCCCAACCCGCCAACTTGCTGGAGAAGCACAGACTTTCTTTCAGGATTTACTCCCCTTAGCTAAATAGTCCCGTTATAGGGGGCCAAAAACTCCCCTCACCATGGAATGCGCCCTAGACAAACTCTCGGAGGCAGGAAGTTCAGTTTCGGCGGCAGAGTCTCTGCTACGCACGCGGACAGCACCTGCTGGCATCAGTGCTTGTCTGTGAGACGCATGCCAGCCCTAATAATAATATTCGTAATAACAGTTAAATTAATTATTTATTTCGTTTTAAATACGAAATCAACAGGACATATAAGTACATACATTTATTTATTAATTTATTATTATTATTATGGAGCACGGGGTGGCCTAAGTGGTTGAGACACTATGTTACAAGCCGGAAGTTCACGGATTTTGCAATTGACCTAATCCTTCCAGCCACACTACGGCCCTTGGGTTGACTCAATCTCTAATAGAAATGAGTACCAGGAATCTTCTCTGGTGGTAAAGGGCGGCCGACCCACGAGTATGGCTGACAACCACATAGCCATCTATGAGCCGACTGTCTAGAGAATGTAGGAACTTCGAAATCTCTGAGCCCTATTGGCCTCAACGGCCTGTTACAAGTATAGCTTTACCCTTTTGTTTTTACTAGTATTTCCACCTTACGTTAGAAGCATACGGACGTATTAAGATTACAGTAAGATAGTTTGAGAAAACCAGTAACTGCGATTATAGAATTTGTCTGAGCGAAATCAGTAACACCGATGCTCTTAGCCACTGCGTTGGCAGCATTGGCGCACCGAGCACGAGTACCATGTTTATTTGGGAAACAAACACTGAAATTCTGTACCTTAACGAATATTTTGAAACAGGGATGGGCAGAACATAAGGCCGCTGCAAACCTGAACCGAAACAGCGTGTCTCTGTTTACGTAGAGAATGTAGACTTGAATTCCATAAATTATAATTGTAAGGTGCATGAGGGAAGGAAGGACAGAACCAAATGGAAGCAGACTTCTGCTGTAGGCACCGAAGCCTCTTGGCATCGGTAGACGTGACTGACGATGAGTTCCAAACCACTGAGGCATATTCTCGCCTTGATCTGACTAACGTAAAGTATAACATACACAAGAAAAACCAAGAGATGAAATGTGAAGGTTGTAGAGCAAATACGGCCCAATAGCTTGATACATTCATAAAGGAAACTAGTAAGAACCCTTTCTAATGGTAGACATCTTGAAACACTACAGACACCCACAATTAAACAGAGACAAATTTACTATTCACGCAGAAGGCGTAACTCATAGTACAAAAAAAAATGTTTTTTTCATAATTCAAACAAATGAAATGAATGAATGTACAAAGGGTGGGCCCTCTCGGCCCTTGCACCGCGACCTACAGTGATCTATTGTATATCGTACTTAAAATTCTTGAAATAATGGAGTAAAAAGAATTAAACATATTTACTGAAGAAAGCGTATACGTAAGGGTACGTACAAAATAAGTACACTCATTCATATATTGCACAATAGTAGCGAATTTTCTTATGAGCGTGATGATTCATCCTCAGGCCTGCGCACTGCGGCGCCGCGAAAGGTCAGCTGGAAACGTTACGCATCCTGGGGACGCACGGCGCCAACTTGTGGGTCCGCAACGTAAGGGGCGACTACCCATTGCACGAGGCCGTCGTGTCGGGGCGCAAGAATCTGGTATATTGGCTCCTCACCCAGAGACCTGACGCTGTCAACTCCCCCAACAATGACGGCCGCTGTCCGCTGCACATCGCGGCCGTCAACAACAACGTCGAGATGTGCAAGGTACACACCCGAGTGTTCTTTATTTACGGCTTCTTTAACAGCGGTTTAATTCCCGACTTTATATAGTATAGCGTTGGTGACAGAACGATTAAAGAATGTTGAGCAGTTGATGGAACAAGATTTGGTATTCGGAGAAAACCTGCCCTAGAGCCACTTTGTCCGCCACAAATCCCACATGACCCTAGGATAGAACCCGGACCGCCGCGGTGGGAAGCCAGAGGCAGTAAGTCAGAATAGTAAAGAATGAATTGGACAGGAAGAGGAAAGAAGCGCAGTCTTGGCTTATTGGGTTACTATCCCAGTATTTGCCTGGAGAGAGCAAGGAAAAACACCAAAATCCTCAGTCAGGACCGTATTGCCTGTAAGCTGTGCGCGCGGTCGGTCGCGCAGTCTCAGTCTCCCGCTCACTGTCGGCTGTTATGTCTGTTATGGACCTTATTAAAAAATCTCTGAACCCCCCCCCCCCCCCCCNTTGCCCAACCAAACCCAATCGCTGCTCAGAAGATACAATGTCTTGCGCACTTGCATCCCCGGCTCAGAGGCTGCAAGTCATCTAGAGCAAAATTATCCGCAGTGTCTGTATTGGGGACAGATATACCACATAGTGTCAGGCGTCAGAACCTCAAACGAAGATATTAAAACAGCATCCACAACGCTATATCAGCGCATCTGGCAACACGACAACCCGGTTGTAGCAGCACTAGGAAATTACGACATTGACATGCGCTGTTCCTACACCAGACCAAAGCGGATGTTCATTCATTCATTCGTTCGTCAATGGCTCTTCAGCCCTTTATCGGGCTCTGGCCTCTTTTTCATTTTCGTAATTCTAGTTACACTCTGTAGGACTCCTTGGACGGGAGATCAGGTCTTCGCAAGGCCGCTAACTAGACACAGAATAAACGCACACATACATCCACGCCCTGAGTGGGATTCGAACCCACGACCCCAGTTTTCGAGCCGTATAGACAGTTCATGAACCAGACCGCGCGGCCACTTGACAGGCGCACGTAGGCCACAGCACCTTAGTGTTGACACCTGCAGTAGTGTGTTCTGAAGATTAGACCGTTAGAGACTGCACTGTAATTACGAGAAAATTCGGATAGAACACATCATTTCCTCTATAATCTTGAAATGTTTGTTACACGCTGCCAGAGTAAGGCTGTTCACATAGACGGACCGAATCAAGGCAATATATATATATATATATATATATATACAACTTTCAGGCTGTGAAAAGGAGGAAAATCGTATAAAATGATAATGTAGCCAACATTACGGTGAAAATGCAGTATAACTGCTAACATCCACAATCCGATGTTACGAATGAAACCACGCCAACACTGTAATTAAAATGGACGCAGCTAGTTTCGCAAGTAAGGTAACAACGACAATAAAGCAGGGGCGACGATGATATTAGGATTAATATAAATTAATTTAAATTAAATTCTTGTTTATTTACTTGCAAATTTAACAGCGCAGAGGCCGGTTACAAATTTAGCACGAGTACATGGAAATAAACAATATAAAACTTACAAACAAAATATAAAATGAGGTACTTTATGTAATAATAATAATAATAATAATAATAATAATTCTATGAAAAACCAAAGTTATAATAAACAGACGAGAAAATATAATAAATACTTTTGTAATGGTTATGCCATTATTCGGCGACAAAGGTAATATTTATACATACACATACGTAATAATAATACTTTATTATAAAATACAATTAAACAGAACTTCTGTGGCTCCGAATACGTCAGCGTCCCTGCTAACAGCAGTAGCAGCTGATGCACATCTAGCAGAGGGACAATTTTTACATGAGACGCAGATATTGAACAATGCAAGGTCTCTGATATACCGAGCAGGGCAAAATAATAATAATAATAATAATATAATTATGATGTCCTTTCCATGTGTGTACTCTTATGCTGGGGAAGAGCACTCACATACGTACATATCCGTGGAAAGTTTAGAACTGTCATTCAAAAATCAAGTTCATATGGGAGAAATATCATGGATGAACATCCATCAGCTTAGTTACCTCAGCAGTAACAGAAAGTGATACTGAACAATCTGACGAAGCCAATGACTGTCTAAACATGTAAAGAAAGGAGTATGTAAGTGGCGGGCTAAACAGACAGTTACCTGACAAAAGTGGCTGACTAGGGCGTACGGTAGCGTAGATGCTTGAGGCACTATACTACAAGCCTGAAGGTCTCGTGTTCAATTCCCAATGAAGTCCTTTTTCAATTTACACAATCCTTAAAGCCGCCATAGGGCCTTGGGATCGACTCAGCCTTTAACAGAAATGAGTACCTGAAATCTTCCTGGGGGTTAAGGGCGGCCGGCTCGTAAGGCTGACAACCTCATCGCCATCCGTGAGGCGACTGTCTAGAAAATGTGGGAGCCTCGACGTCTCACAATCCTTAGGCCTCCCATGGCCTGTTAAAGGATAGATTTTATTTTATTAATTAACAAAATTAGCACCGTGGCATGAGGTGACGGCAGTAGTTGGAACAGACAAGAAATTACTTGTGTCATGAAATTATCTTGCTGTCCAACTCTCTCAAAATTCCCGCTCTCCACAAGCTGGGTCCTTACAGCGCGGGCTACATGTTCTGTCACGTGCCATTGCAGGAAGGCCTCAACGCCATTAGAGCAGTTTCGTCAGCTTCTTTACGTGAAGGTAAGCGAGCGGTGTGCGTCAACTCGTAACTACTAATCCGACTTATGACTTTAGCAAGTTGCGATCAACTTATGCTGTCTCTGCACAGTAAATATTATTGGGATGTGCTGTGAAATAGCTGAATCTAAAGAACACGACAAAGTAAATTTCTTCCTTGTATCTGAAGACGGAAGCAGAGCCAGCTTCCGAAACATTGTGTGCCTCTAACCAAAAACGAGACGATGGGATGGTGTTGCAGATCCTGCTGGACAACCAGGCGCTGCTGAATCCGGTCATGAGGACGAGCAAGGGACAACTGATGACCCCCATAGACGCGGCTCTTCACCGGGGAAACAGAGGATGTGCCAAGTACCTGCAATTGCATGGTGGGGTGCCCGCTAGCAAGTTGACAGACAAGTCTGCTCGTGTACGGGGCGGAAATCAGAGGTCTGTAGCACGCAAGTCAGGAGATGAGTTCAAGCATTACGAGATGATGCATTGTTTCAATAGCAAGAGTGTATCAGTGCACCGCATCAGGACTACACGTATTTTTCGAAAGCCTTAATTGCGTATTTTAACACCTCGCTATTTACACAGTGTGTCAAGGTTCTCTTAGGACTGTGTTAATTAAAAATACAAGACGTGAATTATTTTCAAAATTTCACTCTTTTTATTCAAAATAGTCTCCTTAAGAACAATACATAACTGGAATCGATTGAATTTTTTTTAAAACAGTCACTGTACTCCTTTTGTGGAATCGCATTTAAAACTGCGGTACATTCCCTTTGGATGTCCTGGATGGTGTCGTGACGGTCTTCTTCCATCGCCAACTTAACTTTTGGGAACAACCAGAAATCTGCTGGAGCCAAATCTGACGAATGCGGAAGATGATCAAGGACTGTGATCCCTTTTCTGGCCTAAAAGTCGCGCGCGATCTTCGATTTGTGAGGTGGGGCATTGTCGTGGAGGAGCGACCAGGAACCTTGCTCTCGATATTCAGGTCGAATTCGAAGAATTCTCGCCCAAAATCGATTGAGAACTCCGAGATAATAATCAGAATTCACTGTTTGACCTTCTGGCAGAAATTCCTTGTGAATGATTCCTTTGGAATCGAAGAAAACGGTTAGCAGTGTCTTTACTCGACTCTTTTGCATGCGCACTTTCTTTGGTTTCGGCTTCTTTGGGCTCAACCACGCTGCACTCTGCCGCTTTGTGAGAGGCTCATATTGAGAACACCACGTCTCGTCACCAGTAAAAATCGATTTTGTAAATTTTATATCACTTTGGGCCGACCGTAACATGTCTTTGCAGTGTTCCACTCTGGCATGTTTTTCATCGCCTGACAGAGCGTGCGGTACAAACCGCGCACAGATCTTCCGTTTGCCCAAATCCTCGGTCAAAATTTGATGCACAGTCCTTTTTGGTATTCCCAAAAGCTCCTCGATTAGTCTTGCAGAAACACATCTGTCTGATGCAAGGATTTCGGCCATTTATTTCACATTTTCTTCAGTGCGACTTGTTCTCGGCTTTGATGCACGTGGAGCGTCTTAAATGTCTTCCCTGCCGTCACGAAATACAGCATACCATCGACAAATGTTCCAACGACTCAAACAATCACTACCGTACACACTTTTCATCATTTCGTACGCTTCTCCGGCTGTTTTGCCTAACTTCAAACAAAATTTGATGTTGGCTCTCTGTTCAACCGCCATTTTCCGACGAGAGTCACAACTCGCCAACAGATGGTATTGCAGGGCAAAAAAAAAAAAAAAAAGAGTCCTAACGGATCCTGGACGCACCGTGTACATCAATTTACAAGATACTGTTTCAGAACACTGCAGATATTGCTTTGCTCATAAATGCAGTTAATTTCTTTTTGTGCGTCGTTAAGACCGTTGCAGAGGTCGGGTAGTTGGACTTTGCTTTCCCAGGCGGTTTAATGTGAGATTTATGGTGGATGAAGGTGACACTGAAGTAGACTGTTCCCTGTTTCCTCTCGGCTGTCCCCCTTCTAGTACCCCATACCGGCCTGTCACCGCTCCCTGAGATATGTGACAGTCTTGACCACGCAGCACATTATCATATCCTAGGTCTTGGAACTTCCTCTCGAACACAGAAATTGGCTTGTCTTAGTTAAATCCGTGTGTAGTTCCTACGGCAAATTACGTGATGAGACGGGATAGTGTAGTCGGTATAGCGACTGGCTAAGGACTAGACAACCGATGGGTCGGAGTTCGAGTCCCGGTAAGGTCAAAAATTTTCTCAACGTCTTCCGGATCGGCACCGGTGTCCACCCAACCTCCTACCCAATGGCTACGGGGGGTTCTTTTCTCAGGGGTAGAGCGACCGGGGCGTGAAGCTGACCGCTCACCTCCAACTAGTGCAGAGGCCAAGAAAATGTGGATCTATACATCCACTCCCCCATATGCCTTAGTGGCATAGTGCTTAATTAATTAAGCATAGAGACAACGTTACATTTCTTTTTCCTTGCAATTTATACATCTTTGCGGGTTCTGGGTTGGTTGCTAATGCCAGTTGTTTTTAAGACGAGTGGTTGTTGAGAAAATCCACAAAATTCAGTTTAAATTTCTGTGAAGCAAATATTATATGAGGCCAATAGAGGTAAAAAAAATTAAATTCGACGGATAATATTGAATGTGAATTTGCCATACACCTAGTTTAATTGAATTCCAGGAATTACAGACATAAAATACGCGGACACGGGTTAAGGGCTCTTCTATTTTGCGATAATTTCAAAGATGTTAACAAAAAGAAAAAAACATAAACACAAATTTAGGCAACTATCTGGCGAGTGTCAGACTGACAGCAAATTGCAGACGGGCTGTTTGACTAAATGATTTCCTGGTCAGTAAACCGCGCACACGAAGATTCCTTTCATCAACCGAGAGCAGCCTATCCTCTTTCGTTGTTTCATAATAATTGCTCCAAAATCCTCTGTCATTCTGCGCCATGCAGTCTGGGGGTCGTTGCCGACATTCCTCCGTCTTCAGAGTTCAAGATAGAGCCAATCTGGGATGGACAGGCAAAGCATGAGGACTCTCATCTCGGGGTGTCGGGATAGTCTCGTAATATCCGTTTGGTTTTCGCAGAGGGGCGATGTCGGAGACACAGTCAGAGCAGTACACAACCCCGGAGTTTGCTGCTACACTGTCCCTGCCAGGCGGTCGGACCTCGCTAGGGACCAGCCCTCTCGCAGAGCACGCCGCAGCTCTCAACGACGCCGGCCGGAGGACCCTTCAGGTATGCCGTCATGCTGAACGCAACTCCATGTCATATAATCGCATACTCCCACATTTCCTTCTCTGCCCCACAACACGTTTTCCCGCCGTGCTCCACCTGAGGCGGCTGTTGTCATATTCCCAAGCTGCAGTACCGGTTCGTTTCCACGTCAGATCCTGTAGCATTTGTGGTGGACAAAGTGGGACTTAGGCAGTCTCACTACTGACAGCATAGTTTAATAATCAATTTAAAGTATGTTTCCCGTGTTCTTTTTTCGTGATATCTCTGGAGTGGCTACAAACATGTACAAGACATCTGGGGCTACTGAAGGAAGCCTAGTTCACAATAAGCCGACGGTTTAACAAAGGGATTGGTAAATCATGGACATCATTGCCGAAGGGAAGCGTTAGATTTTTCAGTGCATTCTTCCTAGAGACAAAAACTGCATGCACGGCGCGGTTCCATGTAAAATATAATTCTCACAGCACGATATAAATATAAAATTATTCTTAACTTGAGAAATATTTTAAAATTCGTGTCGCATTAGACCTTTTGCCATCCTGTACCTCGCCATTGGGACAAAAGGGAGTCAGTTACTTTGCCAAAGACAGCTCACCAGAAGGAACATTTCGTATATGGGTTTGATTTTTTTTTCGTTTTGTCTGAGTTTGTCTGTTGATTATGTTTTTGTTGTATCCGTTGTTATGTAGTATGTTTTTAATAGTGTTCTAGTCTATCTGTGTCTCTTTTTCCGTTATTGGGTATGTGTAGAGTCTGTTTATTAGATAGTTAACACCAGATGTTTGGACGCAAGGACTAGCAGATGTCCTTGTCCGCGCAAGTTTGGTCTATCTGCTCATCGCCTATTCCTTGTGCTTATAGTGTGTCTTAATTAAGCCTTTGTTTTTTCCTAACTTCTTACTATTAAACTCTATTAGCTATTAAAAAAAAAAGGGGGGGAAGGATTTCGATGGTGCGGTTACATATAGATGCCTGATGTCCATGGAGCATGTTGGTATGTTGGTAATACTGTATATACACTTTTATGCTGGAGGTTCCATGATCGAAACTGACCAGGATTTCTGGTCATTTTGTCACTTTTTTTATTATCCTCAGTATCTCGTTGCGAATATTTTGAAATAGGCCACTGCCTCTTCTTTACAAGTTTTTACCTGTAAGATTTACCATTTCTCACGGTGTTGTCGCTTGCAGAATTCTTATACTTTTTCTTCTACCCTGAAGATGGGGGCGATACGTTCCTCCGAAACGTCGGTTAACACCACACATACACGGTGCCAAATCCCAGAAGACTGCTTTCTTCAAGTTTTTACCTACTTATATTTTCTTGTTTTTCATCGCATTCGACACTGTCGAACTGGTGTACTCGAGCATCTTTGTTAAGTAAGCCAAGACTCACTCAACATTTATTATTTATTCATAACAAGACCATTTCATTGCTGCGCTTCCTACCTGCTTCTTGCAGGTTTCTTGCTTAGCCTACTCTTCGACACTAAATATGAAAGTGATATGTTGCTCCGAAACGTCGGTGGAATATCACCGGAATACGAGGCGTTACAGCCCGGAAGATAAACTCTTCCGAGACTAAGCCAGCGTTAAAAATGCTTCTGTTTAACGAATAGTGTGTATTTGTTTACTTTCCAGCTTCCATGTACCGAGTTACTCTGAGCTTGTGTACTTTCAGGTTAGAATGAACGACGACGTTGCGATACGTCACGTGGAAAAAATAGATGCCCCTCTTGTCTGCACACATCGCAGGTTTGAGGATGAGAGCAGTGGGGAGGAGCGCATGCGCAGACGAAGAAGACGAAGACGGCGGGAGCGGCGCAAGACGGATTACATCGATGATGTGGACAGAGAAATCGTGGAAGAAGATTCACGAAGACGGAGGAGAGGTGACAGGGATACTGGAGGCTTTAGTGATAGTGCGGATAGTGAAGGGAGGAAACGCAGACGGAGGAGACGAGACGATGACTTTAGCGATGACTGGGACAGTGAAAGAGACCGACGAAGTAGCCGGAGATGGCGAAGGAGAGGGGATCAGGGAGCGTCCAGCGAAAGAAGCGATGAAGAGGATGCCGATATGGTGGATGACATGAACGATTCCAATTGGGTTAGAAACAAGAAACGACGGGGTGAGAAAATCGAAAGACCAAAATGGAGATCTAAAAGTAAAGAAAGATTAGAGGATGGGCACAGCGATGTGGAATATGTCAGAGTGAAAAGGACCACCATTAGAAGCAAAAAGACAAAAAGAAAGACAGTAACAGATGAAGAGCAAGAAGAACAGATAGAAGAAGATTCTGAAAGAAGCAGCGAAGTTGAAGTTGAAGAGGAAGTTGTTGAGAAACAAGACAATAGCGAGGTTACTAGAAAGATGTCAAATTCAGAGGAAGTCACTACTACCAAAGCCGAGACAGAGCTGAGGAGAGACCAGAACAAATCAAAAGAGAAATTAAACACTGTAAACAAGGTTGACTCACGAAAGAGTAAGAAAAAGGAAAGCGCTTTAGAGAAAGATAAGAGAAAGAAGCCAGAAACCTCATGTAATAAGGAAACCGAAACTGAACGAAAAAGTGTAGAGAGAAGCAAAAGGAAAACAAACAAGAAAATTGTTACAAAAGACAGTTCAACAAGACAGACGACGGAAGAAACGGAAGGCAAAGATACCACAAGACAGTCGTCTGTTAAGAAAGTGGCAAGGAAAGGAGTCAGTCAAGTGGACGCCTTAGGTGCACCTAAAGAAGTTGATAAAGTCATGGAAATAGCGACGGCGAAAGGAGTGGCGGGCGTGCGGCAGAAGGGAGAAGCACACGAACAGCCGGAGGATCCTGCACTTCTACTAGAACAGGAACGAGAAGATGGGACGACACGCGCAGTGGTTACCGCTTTAGTTCATCAGCATGACGACGAGGGCAGCACTGAGGCATCGCGTGCAGAGGAACAGACTGAGTCGAGTAAGAACGGCGAGCCGGACACGGAGGGCGTTAGCGATACCTTTCAAGCGACGGGAACAACTGAGCAGGAACAAGACGAAGCTGCAGTCCGTGACAGACAAGCAGCCACAGAAGAAGTGCAGCAAAGGTTTAAAGAAGGAGACACAGAGAGGAAAGAGAAGTCAAGCGAAGTCGATGAGGGTAAAGGGGACATAACACAAGAAGCTGAAGGAACAAATGAAGAGAAGCCGCAAACAGAATTTGGTGTGGGGAAAGGAGTTCAAGCAACGAATGAAGGTGAAAGTGAAGACTTAATTTCAAGTGAGACAGGTCCTGAAGCTGGGATTGATCTTAATGACAGAAAGGAGGCGGATGAGGATAGGGAAGGAAACGCTGAAGTAGAGGAAGAAACAACGTTTACGAAGGACAGTGAAAAGACACACGAAGAAGGCGACCAAGAAGAGGCAGATGCAGAAAAAGAGAAAGCAGGAGGAGGAGATGCAGAATCGGAAGATAAGGCTATGATCGAACAAGTAAACAATGGAGGCTCACCAACAGAGGAAGATGCTCAAAAACTAGAACATGATATTAACGGGGATGAAGCGGCCAAGGATAATGATAAAACCGATGGAGACAGCAGAGCTAGTACGCAAGAGTTGACGATATCCTCTCCTCTAGAGAAGGAAGAAGGCGCAGCGAGAGAAATGAACACCGAATCAGGAGCATCCACCGCTCGAAGTCGGAATGGCGGAGACTCGTCAATGCTGCTGGACTCGGGATTCGAACCCTCACCCCGTCGAGAAAAGATCACCACAAGAAGCAACAGCGGCAAGCAGCAGCAGACACGGAGCGCGCGCCAGACGAGAGGCAGAGGCCGTGGTCGCATTCCTCGGCCGTGTCGGACCGACGGCGAGCAACCAACTACTACAGTGTCCGTGACGCAGGCCGTGCAGAGGAGCATGCGCAAGTAGGGCACCTTGTCAGCACCACTGTACCTTGTTGCACATCACACACCACTACAGTAAGAGTTCATATGCACACGGCAAGTAAATAGAGACGTGCTTTAATATCGAAATCTGTAATAAAACTTCGGATTAATTCAGTCCAATAATATTGCCGCAAATTTTAAATTCTTATATAAATTGCAGATCTGCTCCATTAACTATTTGTCAAATGTAAGATCTCATAACTCTTTCCATGTTGGGTTATATTTTAAGGACTGCTTTAATAAAATACAGACAGGATATTATTAGAAAAATATTTCATCGAAAATACCGAAACTCGGTAAATTAGAGGGTTTTTTAAAAGACTACTGCACTTGTGCGCAGTTACTGAGCAATATATGCTGAGAGACGTAAATGAAGTTTTATTGGCAAATGTTGCCTGTTTAAAAAAGGAAGTATCAGACCTCTTTTCTTCAGCTGGCAACAGAACATCATGATGGACACTGGAAACTGTGTCACTAAACAACAGAGACGCATTTCTTGCAGTTACAGGCTGGCCATCTATAACGGTCGGTTTCTGTCTGATTTGGCTCTTAGGATACAAAAGAAAACAATGTCGCGGGTTCGATTCCTGACGAGGTCGTTCGAATTTCCAATTTACCTAATCCTTCCAGCCGCACTATGGCCCTGGGGTCGACTCAGCCTCAAAAAGAAATTATACCAGAAATCTGCCTGAGGGTAAAGGGCGGCCGCAATTTAAGGTCGACATCACCGCCATTTTTGAGCCGATTGTCTAGAAAATGTGGGAGTCTCGACGTCTCACAACCCTATGGGCCTCCAAAGCCTGTTGAAGGGATGGCTTTACCTTCTTTCAATAGCTATTATTTCGACATCTCCACCGGGGACTCGATTTTCTCCACATATATGTTTCTTTCAATTTTTCCTTTCACTAAAACGTGCCTGCACGTTATTCTGAATGATTTGAAAAGCAACAAATAGGGCGAAACCTTCTAAATAAAGTTTCCATTTCTAGGTGAACTTTCCACAGGTAGTACAGCCAATGTTTCACTGTTCTATATTAAATAACGATTTTACTGAATATGGACGCTGTCAATGGAAACTTGTCTATATAAAACTCTAAACTACAATGTTAACAGAGGCTCTCCTGTCCGTCCTCTCCTTAGCTGCTAATAATGACTTCTACAAGACATAATTGCGGTCATTAAGCTCTTATACCCGTAAAGGTAAAGTTGTTCCTGTGTTTAATTAATTAAGCACTACGCCATGAAGGCGTAGGGGGAGTGGATGTATAATTCCACGTCTTCTTGACCTGGGAATTCGTTGGAGGTTAAGGGTCATTTTCACGCCCCGGCCGCTTTGGGTGGACCCCAGAGCCAGTCTGGACGACTTTCAAAAGAGAAAACTCTTGACCCTACCGGACCTCGAACTGCAATCCCTCGGTCGTCCAGCCCGTAGCCAGTCGCTATACCGGCTTCACCTTATACCCGTAAATACTATGCTTATCAGTATTGAAGATCAGCGGGAGAAAGGTCTTGCCTTATCTGTCAGCAGATGATGTTGGATATAAGTGCGATATGTGAGCGCAAGAATTACTAGGTGTGTTTTGAACAGAAGCGACACGAGAAGAGTTGGAATTTGAATGTTTTATCCTAGGCAGGAAGTGATATTTTCGTGAAATGTTTGCGTCTGTAGGTACCACCTAGAAAGGCGGATCTTCCAGGAGTTGCTGGAGCTGAAGAGGCTGCAAATCCGGGCTGGCAGGGCCAACGAACAGGTGCTGGTGAAACGTCTGGTAGACGATTACCACAAGGCAGGCCTTACAGTTGGCATGAGGCAGTACGACGGCGTGTTCACCTTCCGCAACTTCGAGAAGTATCTCTACGGTAGGCTGCATGCCACATCAAAGCTTTAACCAAAACTCTTTTTGCAGGCTTCGTCGTCTTATGAATTATTTCGACTTCAGAGCGACATTCGGCTTACCATAAGATTGATTGTCACGCGAGTCTGCCATTGGTACACGTACCACCCACTTTCTCCAGCAGATACACAAAAATAAAAAGTATTGGCGCGTTTGTTTTTATTCGTGAGAATAAGCTGCTGTATTTTTTCTAAAAGAATGGAAAACAAATGACTTGAAGCTGCAGAATTTGTACAGGCAAATTACGAAGTTAGTCTTCATTAATTGAAGGGACGAACAGCTATACTGGGCACGTTCTACAACGCTCTCATGAGACGCGCCATTGCACTCCAGGACAGGCGTTTACGACGTCGCATCCCGATGTCTGACATTCGTGCGTCCTCACATTCGATTGTTTGAATCGAAGTAGAATCACGACGTATTAATGAATAATAAATTGAAGAAAGTCGTCTTCTGGGTTTAGGCACCGTGTATTCTTCGTTTTGGCCGACGTTTCGGAGGAACGTAGCGCCTCCATCTTCAGAGCAGTTGAATGGCTTGGANATAATAAATTGTTCACATGTTGCTTAACGATACTGTTTCAACTACAGAATTCATAGGACCGAAAGAGATTGGAAGATAGTCATTAACTATAAATATTGTCACGTGTAGGAGTGGCTATAGACGCGGTTTGGATGGGCTAATCGATTTATTGGATATTCACAAGTCGTAACTACAATTAATTATTACACTATTGTTGATTTACACAATTTAGAATCACTGCACACTCGTCTTCTCAGTCTATCTAGTCTTCACTACTCGTTTCCTGGCAATGGATTTACAACAGGAACTGTAGAAGTCTCACTAAATTACACACTCCCAATATCGATGTACTACACCACATATAACGTGCACACGATGCACAGAAAACACAGCCCCTCTACTGTTGCATGGAGAAGACAACACAGAAAATACATGTCACGTGTCAGACAGCGAGTTCATTGGTCCGTTAGCAGCGCTGGGCGTGGGGCGGACGACATAGAAAGCACAGCCTCATCTATTGTTGTGTACTGGACCGTGTTTACAGAGCTGTTGCCTAGCAACGCGTTGCTCAAATCCGTTACAACATATTGGAACGTCGAAGGAGGTAGTCAAGGGCAAATTTAAATTTATGCTAATGTCAGCTTGTAGGTGGACGATAGAGCTGCTGAAATATATAGTTAACGAGCATACCATAATTTTTACGGGCCAGTAATTTTTGTGACCAACGCTGGAGTGGGATATGCAGCACGTACGAGTTGGGCGGATGTGTGCATAACTTGGAATACTTTTATGTGAAAATCCGAAAGGAAGAGACCTCTTGACGGATGTTGGCAGGACGGGAGAATAACATTGGCATTAAACAAAATGGTCGCCATATAGCGGCACGTAAATTTCGTTCTGCTTTATGATATACTGTCAGTTGCACAACGTGTATCGATCACGTGACCCTCATCAGAGGTTGCATCATCATGAACAAGTAAGAAATGGAATGTAAAGATGTGGACTGGATTGCAGTGTCACATGATAGGCTTTTGTGAGAATGGTAATGAACCTTCGGTTTCCATAAACACACAGAGAATATCTTGACCAGCCGAATACCACCAGCTTCTCACTGCAGTCCCTGACTGGGTTGGTTACTGAGGCAGCCGCTTAGTATGACTCGACATGATATATATCGAAATGATTCACGATAACCCTTCTTTCCTCGACGATTTTAAAATTCGCTTGTAGCCACTCTCAGATGACATCGCGTCTGGTTCTTGGAAAACTGAAAGAAACGTTACGTAAAGATTTGCTGATTGTCACTCATTGTAGTCTCGTTTGTCGTTAAATGAGTGGACCACATGAGGGTCACAGAATTCAAGTTATAAGCCATCCCTTACCTTGAAGAAAGTCGTCTTCTGGGTTTAGGCGCTGTGTATTCTTCATTTTGGCCGACGTTTCGGAGGAACGTATCGCCTCCATCTTCAGAGCAGTGAATGGCTTGGAATGCAGAGAGCAGTAGCTGCTACTGCTATTGCTCTCTGCATTCCAAGCCATTCACTGCTCTGAAGATGGAGGCGATACGTTCCTCCGAAACGTCGGCCAAAACGAAGAATACACAGCGCCTAAACCCAGAAGACGACTTTCTTCATAGTCATCGCCGTGAAAACCTCAAAACTTACATCCCTTACCTTATTCGAAACTATGGGGAACTGACACTACGCCATTTTAAATGTAAGATAGATGGTTCGAGAGGCGCACATTTCGCTGTTGGATTCATTAATCAGTTTCCAGTCTTTTTTTATTATTATTAGGAAAGCCGCTGGTTCACCGTCTTCCCATGCGCCCTCTAATAAATTCTGAACAATATCACAACTGCCATAATCGAATAAGGGAAATTAGGGCAGTACACCTTCTCTGTCACAATTACAAAGTCTGGTAGGATAGGATGGAAACCACGATGTTTTTATAATGCGAATCATGATTGCTTGGCAGAGCCAAAGAGTTGAATGACGACTCAAGGTCACTGTGTTGTGCCCCAGGTTATTAATGGGTATGATTTTATTTAACGACGAGTCGATTTTATGTTTAATTTATTATGAACTAGCTGTACCCGGCCACGCGTTGCTGTGGTTCAGTCTGGTTAAATGGAAAAGAAAGAAAAGATAAAGCGCACGTTTCTAATATGTTTAATTTCACAATGCTTGAGGTATACAGTATTTTTTGTTGTTCCATTGTCTGTGCAGATATAGAGATTGTCTGGTTTGCCGACTCTAGAACACGCAACATATAATTGTCCATGTGAGAAGCAACCCGAGTCTAGATCTAAACCACACAACTCAAAAGATTGGCCCTGGGCATTGTTGATGGTGAATGCAAACGCCAATCGAATTGGGAACTGCAATCTCTTAAATTGAAATGGCACATCCGTTGGAATCATAGGAATGCGAGGAATGAGGACATATTCACCTTTGAAAGGTCCTGTCAAGATTGTCGCTTCTATGACGTTGCTCAATAAGTTTTTACTGCAAGCCGCGTGCCGTTGCAAAGCTTTGGCTGGTTGATATTTCGCAACATGATAATTGGCACTCCTATTTTCAATTGCAGTACGTGCTGTGGCATCCCTGGCAGATCGAGTGAATTAAAAAATTCTGTTGGATAATTAACCGCTTCATCTGCTTCCACAACAGTGTCGACGGACTTGTATGTGACTGCCTCGCATTGAATGTTAGATTGAATGATATTGTTAAGTTCGTAGACGTCTTTGTTCTTGGCCGCAAGAATAGCTCGTTCACTCAGTCAATCGTGATTCTTATAATTGGTTTGAATATTGGGAAATACTTTTTCAACCAATTCTTCTTTCGACGTCACTAAATTGCAGAAGTTATGAGGCAATGAAATTCGTCCTGAGGTCAGATCAACCGGCACCTTTCCGTTCCCAGTTGCCAGCAATTGATGTGAGAATATCTCAGCTGATCGATCGTTTTGCAGCTGAACACGCATATTTGTAGTTAATTTTAACGTCTTTACGTGTCGCCACAAAGTAGAGTATTTCAGGCAAGCATTTATTTCGTCCGCTGGTATCGATCGAGGAATTACAGGTAATGTTTGCCTGAAATCTCCTGCAAGCAATATTAATGCGTTCCCAAATGGTCTGATGTTTCCACGCAAATCTTGCAATGATCGATGAAGAGCCTCGAGCGATTTTTTGTGCGCCATTGTGCATTCATCCCAAACAATAAGTTTGCATTTCTGCAATAGCGTGTGTTGCTTTTACGTCCAACAGATGGCACTGTTTTTCAAAAGAAGCATGTTTTTACCTGTCACAGGTGTGACATTTATATAATAGGTATATAAAAACACACGCGTATTCGAATGCAACGTTGTATCAAAATTTCAAAGCAATCGGCGAAGAACTTTCGGGGATTTAAGATTTTGAACAAACGAACATTTATATTTTTATTTATATAGATTTTGTAAATTGAAATACGTTAGGTGAACCACAGGTTTTCAGCCGGAAAATCAGGGTTGAGATCACCTTTAGACGTAGCACATTCCTTAGATATCCGGTTTCAATTCTGTAGTTTATAGAAATTGCTGACAAATCAAGTGAACGACACAGAAGCAATTCTCGCATTCGCATGGCAGGTTATCGGCCAGGAGGAATTTCTCGAATTTAGGATTTTGAGTGAAGACCATTTTCATGAGTGCGAGAACGTTGAAGAATTTTTGGGGCTCGGACAGGAGAAGCCGCATGCACTCTGACTTTTAGGAGTCACTCGGAGCAGTCGCGTGGTAGGAAGGAGACGGGATGACGTCAGATGTGTTCATTTTCAGCCACTGACTCTGATGGTTGTTAATATGTAATTTATGGTTCAATGATTTTGGTTGGTTAATTGATTCTTAGGATAAAACTGGTTAAATGACCTTAGCATATAAACTTTAGATTGTAAAAGAGTAATTCTGATTTATTGAGTGGTTATTAAGATGCATGAATCTGGTTTAGTAATTGAGTTTAGGATGTAACATTTGATCTGTTAATTGTTGGTTAAAATTTGAAAGTTGGTTAAATGATTGACTGTTGGTATATGAAACTTGGTTTATTGTTTGTAGAGTGTGAACTTGATCCTTTGATTGACTGTTAGGACGTAACATTTGATTCTCTAGTCGCTTGTTGAAAATACCAATTTTGACTCGTTGATTGAGTGTTACGATAGATAATCCGATTAACTGGTGTTACGGGATGAAATGTGGGTCACTAATCGATGGTTAGCATACGAAATTTGGGTTACTGTTAAGATATAAATTCTGGTTAGCGAATGATGGTTAGAGTATGAATTTGGTTCGCTGTTGTTATGTGATAACTTTGGTCTACTGATTATTTGTTAGTGTGTAATTCTGGTTCAATAACAATTAGGCTATGGATTTTGGTTTCTTAATTGATTGTTAGGATAAAATTGATCAAAAGAATTTAGCGTATAAACTTAGCCAATGAATTGTTGAAGTGTAAATTCTGTTTAATTATTAGATTACATACATTTTCTTTTGTGGACTGATAGCTAAGTTATAAACATTTGGTTCAGTAATTAAGTGTTAGGATGTAACATTTGGTTTGCTAATGGCTTGTCGAAATATAAAAGTTGGTTACATGATTGTCAGGATATGAACTTTGGTTGCAGAGTATGAAATTTGATCCGTTGATTGACCGTTAGGATGTAACACTTGATTTACTAAACGTTTGTCAGAATATATAATGTTTGACTTATAAATCGATCGTTAGGATATAGAATTTGATTTTCACGTGATTTTTAAGAGATATAAGTTGATTTGGGTTTGAGTGTTGGAACAGGAAATTTGGTTTGTACTGTGTAGGTTTAAAGGAGCTTGGTTAACCGATTTTACGAGGTACTTGTAATGAGTGAATTAGAATACTGTGTAAGTTTTATGGTTGTATATATGTATTTATTGATTTTATTATATTTGTTCTTGTTTTCACATACTGAGTGTTTACTGGGGTATTCGTAATAGTTAGTCATTGGGCGGAGTAGGCGCTATCCAGAGACGTTTAACTGGTGGCAAATAGGTGGGATTAAACAAGAAATTTGGGTGCCCCATCCCCGCATTCGTAGTAATAAATTGGTCGCCAGGCGGGCGACATAGTAATCTGATGGCAGCGGTGAGATATAATCAGAATTTTTGTGTCGCGATTTTTGTGCCAAAACAACTGACAACGTAATCAGATGAATTCATAAGCTAAACCCAAATTAAACTTGAAACTGACCAGGTCGAACTGCTGTTAGTTGAACTTCCTGCCGAGAGGATAGTATGAATGCACCAGCGAATACGGCCTGAGTATCAAACTCATAATTTTCATCTGTCTGGTGTTGAGGTTAAAAATGCGCATAACTTTGCCTCCATGCCTTCCACACAGCTTTATGGCGTAGTGTATACAGGCACACACTCAGTTTTAAACATATGTCGTACTTCCTTAACTTAAGAATTACTTCAACTAGTTAAGCCTTTGTTTGCCCATTTAAAATTCAACTGAAAAATTCGACACTTCCCACTTTTGCATACATACGTTTCCATTCGTTCAGCTCTGTACTTTATAGCCGTCGAGGGACATGTTGAAATCACAGTTTCACTGAATATGCACGCTATGGGCTGGAAAGTTTATGGGAAAACAGGTTGATGGAACTGGAGTGACATGGAATCTTGAAACTGAAATATAATTCTTGCATTTGCTACCCATAGACGTGATAGACTGACAAAGAGTGGGCATACCCTGAAGTAAAGGTGAAGTTATATCTATGCTTAAGCGGCCTCCGTAGTCTAGAGGTAACGTTCCAACCTCATGACTCGTGGTACGCGGGTTCAAATACCCGGCGGAGGTCGTCGAATTTTTAAGGGCGGAAAAATTCAGTGAACAAGTCCTCCGGGAGGGACTTTAAGCTGTGTGTCCCGTGTTGTAACTTTACGGCACGTAAAAGAACCTCATATCCCCCAAGGGGATCACTGAGCCAAATTCCAGGACGTTTCCCGCCCAACAATAGTCTCTAAGGCCTCTGATAGATAGGGGAAGCATTATAAGCACCGCTAAGCAAGTGGCCGAACTCGCTTGCTCGGCGGGGCTGATGGTACGCACCATTTATCGGTAGAGTATAGAGACTGGTAGAATATCATAGAGGGAAGCACAATAGATCAAACTGGTCGCGGTGCATGGGGAAACCCACCCTCTCTAAATAACTAAAAAAATATATCTATGCTTAACTAATTAAGCACTACGCCATGAAGACGTATGGGGCAGTGGATGTATAGAACCACATTTTCTTGTCCATGGCTCTAGTTAGAGGTGAGTGGCCAGCTTCACGCCCGGCCGCCTTTATCCCGTTAAAGAGCCCCCCGTTACCCAATAAATAGGAGGTTGGGTGGACCCCAGAGCCGGTCTGGACGAGATAGAGAAATAAAAGTTCTTTGGGAATAGAACTCCGACCCCTCGGTGTTCCAGCCTGTAGCCTGTCGCTTCGACTGCATTATCCCGTTTCTTTGTAAGCATACCCTACCTAGATAAATTATAGATTGACCTGATCTAGACGTATTAATGATATTTGTTAGATACAAGATTAAATGTTATTTGTCTATATAATCGGCATAGGTTAGCACTGCATGAGGGAGGCCTGTCATGCTTTATCTGTGTTTCAGATCAGCTGCGACTGCTTCAGAGCTCGGATCGGCGTCTAATTCCGCGTCTGAAATCAACCGACGACCTGGAGAAGCTAACAGCAGCACTCCGACGCGCGCGCTTGGACAGCGCGTACCTGGACGACATTCCCGACAATCCAGTGTTGTGTACGCACGGTACCCACCGGTGCCACCACGCTGCGCATGCGTACACGGGCGTTCCCTGTGCGGCATACAGTACGTGAGCTGTACCATACACTCTGCATTTTCTGTTGTCAAGATATGACTAAGCCGTCGACAATCAATCTCATCCAGAGATTCCAATCCAATACACTAAGGGCAATTGCAGACGCGCCATGGTATGTGAGCAACCTTACACTCCACAACGACCTAAAGATACCCTTCGCCAAAAATGAAATACCGTATTTACGCATGTATAGGCCGCGTGCGTGTATAGGCCGCAGCACAATTTTCAGACAGAAATTATAGAAAAAATAATTTTCTTGGAATATTATTTCAGGAGTATTACACCCTGTATTACTAATTATGAATATATTTTTTTTTAAATGAAGTGTAATTTCGAATATTTCGAATATAAGCCTCACCCCACTTTTCCTCTTGAATTTTTGGCAAAAAATGTGCGGCCTATACATGCGTAAATACGGTACTAAGAATGGCTGAAAGGTACAAAAATCAAACTGTAAACCATGACAACGAATTAATAGAAGGGCTATACACCAACGGTTCAGTGACAAGATTGAACGGAACATGGCCCCAAGACATCATCAATCAATGAAAAAGACTACATGTAGGAGAAACATCACTGGATGTTTCCCTTGCAAGCTAACCACCTACAACACATTTACTTAACACTCTGTAATGATGTAGATTGTAAAGAAGCATAATAAAAAAAGATATGCATCATGCGAGAGAAATCGAAAACCCAGCTCACAACGGAACTACAGTTTCAGCAAGGAGTTATAGAAAGTTCGCACCAGTAAGTTTCCTGGTGGCTTCAAATCTCGCTTAGCTCCTAGTTCAAATATAGATCTTATACATATGCATGATAGAGCGACGCGGCGTAGGAAAACATTTTAACCCTCTAAAGACTGAATTTTTTTCTAACCGGTATATAAAAATTCAGTCCCTACCTCACAGGAAACGCATTACGTCTCCACTACAGAACCCAACTGGTGAAAGCTGTTTATTGTGAGAATCATACGGAACACACAGATACACTCTGTGGACAGAATGCAGAGTTTTAGTACGTTAAAGGAGGTGATATGTATAGTAACAACTGGAATTTAAAGGTTTAATGTTGCCTGTTGGTCTGCAAGTTGTGAGCTTGTTATATGCCGGAGATTTTACTCCATTGTGCTCTATTCATTGAAGTTACACAACCATAGATACTGTATATTTTATTTAAGTGTATATCTAATGACGTAACAGTATTTCGATATTATTAGCCGAAATGATGGCATCCTTCCCCAGCTACAGTACGTAATGTGACTATCGACTCATTTATAGGTGTTCGTTAAATGATCCAAGCGGTTAGATATCTCACTGTAAGTGGACAGACGCTTCGTGAATACAAATTATCAAGTACAGTGGAGCCTCGCTTAACGAGCACCTCTCATAACGAGTAAAACAAATAGTAATAAAAAAAGACTCGCTTAACGAGCGACGTTTCGCATAACGAGTGACGAGAGGGGAAGTCCCGGATTGTGCGCTTGCTATATCAGTCTGTGTTTAGCACTCGTTCTGCTAGCATCTTAATGTCGCTTGTGATCACACTTTTTTCCAAACTTGTGTTCAGACATTATTTGTGATTTTTTTATGCAAAGTTTAATAACCCTTGCAAAAATGTCCCCGAAGAAAAAGCCGCAAGAAGACAGCCATAAGAGAATAAAAATAACCGTAGAAACGAAACGTAAAATCATTGAAAAGCGAGAACGAGGTGTGAGCGTGGCTGATCTAGCACGCACATACAATCGGTCTACATCAACGATTTGCACTACCCTCAAGAACAAGGACAAGATTAAGGAGATAGATGCTTCAAAGGGAGTGACAAGCATACCTATGCAACGGTTACGTATTCTCGACGATGTTGAAAGGTTTCGCCTCATATGGATAAACGAAAAGCAATTGCAAGGCAACACTATTAACGAGAACATCATTTGTGAGAAGGCGAAAGTGATTTTCGCCGACCTCGTTAAGAAGACGCCAGGATCATCAACGGCCGAAGAATATGCATTTAAGGGAAGCCGTGGGTGGTTCTTCGAGAAGTTTCAGAGAAGAACCGGCATCCACAGCGTTGTAAGGCACGGTGAAGCAGCAAGCTCCGACACGAAGGCAGCAGAGAACTTCATCGGCGACTTCAAGAAGCTCGTAGATTCTGAGGGTTACCTGC